CCCCATGACGACATGTCATACTGTAACCCCCACCCATCCCAATCTAATTATGTTTCAATTATTTTAGGGACCCTGCCATTCAGGGGTCCTTGAAATCTTCCCAACTACACCCCCCCCACTTTACAGTGCCCCAGTTTGCATCCCTACACTCGTAACGCCAGGCCATCACCCAGAACCTCAAAAACACAAACAAACAAAAATTGAAAGAAGTTCTGGAAACATGCAACTGACTGACTGACTTGCACATTCTGGAAAGTGCCACTCTTGCTGACCTCTGCCTCCTTGCTCGGATTTTGCAGGTTGAGAGGTCGATCATGTTGGCCGATCAGGAGGATTTCATCCTCCTCTACTTCCTCTGAATGCTGTGGAAGAGGCAGTGGCATCAGCACAACAAGAAAACGAACAGAAAAAAAACTGCAGTTGACCAAACTTCTTTTTAGGCTGATAAATAGCACGAAAGACTTACACTTCCAGTAGGAGAGCTCTTCCACATGCCTCCAGGGATCTCAGACATCTGTTCTCCATCTTGAAGCAACTGACAGGAGGCCAGCTTGTGTCTGACCTGCTTCATTACTTTTCTGAGCTTCATTAAAAAAAGTCAAACCACCATGAGTTGTCCCATACAAGCAGAAAATAATTATATCTTAATTATACAATGCTTTTCCCCCAATGGCATACAAAACCACGTGTCTATGCTTAAATTTGGTATGCAGAACTGGAGTCTTGCACCTGTATATTCTCATATGCGGTGTCCACAGAATCCCTACCTGGAGTTCCTGCACTTTTCCTGGACGGTCCCAGTCGTGGGATGGCAGTGCCTGGGCACTCACCCAGCGCGATCCAGAGCTACAGATGGCCATCTCCCCCTGGGTGCAAGCTGGGAACGCTCGCTTCCGAGGAGTGAGATTCAGGGCTGTCTCACTAGACTGCTGGAACACCCTCCCCTCACGCTCTGCCTGCACGGAGATTCTGCTTAGCGATCTGAACGGCACTGTCACACCGAAGCCACGGGGATGATCGATCGATGTAATCGAGGTTGTGGGACCCGGCTCACCATCTCGCAGGTCTTCTGCAGCTGTTGCCTCTTGCGCACCCTTGCCTGCTGGGCCACGCGCCGGCGCACCCGCTCCTGGAACCTCCGCAGGTTCTCCTCCTTCTCCCTGCGCAGCTCCATATGCTGCTCTTCCAGCACTGATGCAAGGAGCTGCCTCGCACACATCGAAGGGGCAAAATATCACGTAACCCACATCCAATCGAGATGAAAATCAATAGAAATTATGACTCGTTTATGAAAAGACGCTATATGTGCAATATGTAGGTTATACCAGGGTTTGCTAGCTCCCACGCATCTGGCCTGACACACTGTCAGACTATCACGCACATGCAAGAAATCTTATGGAAAATATGTATTATTCCATTATAATCCTACAAAACCGCTGAGGCAGTTTGCAAAACCTACAGACTATTTACAAGGTAAAAAACTGTAACATACATGTGAGACTAGTCTCGAATTGAAAATCTCACTCCAGCCAGCTGATGCAAGTCAACCCTTTTATACCATGTATGTCAAAAAAGGTACAGATACCACATTCAATGTAAACCACATGGACCAGAGTACTTACAACAGGATGTTCCTCACAGTCGATCCCGCTCTCTACCCAGGCACCCACCGGCATTATTGCCTGGTTCCTCTCGGCTAAAATTTTGTGGTCGACAAGAATCGGGGCTTTGGGTTTACTCGTTTTACTAGCGGCATGTTTGTTCTCCTGTTTAATCTCCTTTAGTGCCGCTTTAAAGTTGCCTTTTGCTTTCGTGGTTTTTAAATGAATCATCTTGTAAAGGCTAATTGGCAGCTACTCTCGTCAATAACTACATACAAAGGAAAACTTTCCTAATGAAAGCACAATTGTGCCACACTGAATATATTACCTATCACTTAACTTCGATACAAATAATACGCATATTCCGTGACTGAAAAGTTTATTTCCCAAACGGCCACTTTGTTGATAACGAAGTTACCGGCTTCGCAACCGTTTAGTTCCACCACCCGTAACATTATTGGTTGCGGATTTAAAATCTCTATGTTCATTCGTCCTGTTTCATGTCAATCTACAGTAGACCACGCCTTGCGTGTAGTGAAAAATATATCCGGTATGGAACTTTGTTTATCATAGAATAGTTCCGCAATGTGAAGAAAATTGTTAATCTTGTTTGGTGCATTGTTGTTGAAATAGTTCAAATGAACAGTTGTGGAAATGTTCGATATAAACCTAGTAACATTGACTAAACAATATCAGTCGTTTTACATATTCAATTTTACTGTTTAAACTTTCTATTGCTGGTAATAAAGGTAACAAAGTAGTAAAGTAAAAAAAATCGCGAAAAAGCAGGGGAGATATTTAATTACCTAGGGTGATTATCAAGTTGCTCTAAACAAATTATGCAACAGTTCTCTGCTTATACGTTTGTGCAATACCAAGAATTGTCACTTTCATTCCTTCCCCTCTTCACAATGCTTGAATTTATCAGCAACACAACCAGCAAACAAAAGGCCAGCTGTCTCATGGGTATGAATCAGCAAATGGATGTTTGTGTTTGTGTGTGTCTAATTGTGTGTGCGTCTGAGTGAGAGAAAAGAACAAATTCTAGTTTACAAAGGGGCACAGTCATATAGTGTCAAAGGTTAAACATTTGACTCCTCAAATTCCTTTTTTGTTGTACTGTTACTGTTGCAGTATAAACACCATGTTAATATGCAATTTCACATATTTATATTGGAAGCAGATTTGCTGATTTTCTCTGAGACACAAGTGATGGTTGTGCTTGTCATTTTTTGGCAGAAATCTATGTCACATCTCTGATACTGGGTGTGAAAGTAGTAGTTTCTGAGTTCACACACACACGCACGCACGCACGCACGCACACACACACACACACACACACACACACAGGTTTGTAATTATATCTTTGTAGGGACTCTCCATTCATTTCTAAGGGGAAAACTCTAATCACAATATGACAACCTTAACCCCTACCCAGCCCTAACCTTAACCATAAGTAACCAAATAAAATACAAGACATTTGGCATTTTTTAACTTTTTTCACAGATATTTGTGGGGACCCGAAAAATGGAATGGAACTTGCCATATAACTGAACTTACTATCTCATTCTCACATTTACTTTGCTGTTTTTGGATCTACATTCAAAGCTTAGGTTATGCAATCACTGTGTTTTCAAAATGTTTTAAAAATGCTGTCTTAACATTCCCCAGAATACTGATTTATCAGGAGTTTTGTCTCCCCAAAGGCCATTATAAATTAACATAAACACGTTTCTGAGGAAGAATGGAAACAAAACACAGCCGTTCTGCTCTCATTATGAAGGCAACCACACAAGAAAAGCAAACTAACTTGGTGTAGATCCAGAATATGAGAAAAATACAGTATTATCCATCCATCCATCCATCCATCCACCCATCTATCCATTATCTGCTGCTCATCCGAGGCAGGGTCACGGGGGCAGCAGTCTAAGCAGGGATGCCCAGACCTCCCTCTCCCCAGCCACCTCCTCCAGCTCCACCAGGAAATACCAAGGCATTCCCAGGCCATCCAAGAGACATAATCTCTCCAGTGTGACCTGGGTCAGCCCTGGGGTCTCCTCCCGGTTGGACATCCCCAAAACGCCTCTGCAGGGAGGCGTCCAGGAGGCATCCTAGATAGATGCCCAAACCACCTCAGCTGGCTCCTTTCGAATCATGGGATCAGTGGTTATACCTTCCGAATGTCCGTGCTACTCACCCTACCTCTAAGGCTGAGCCCAGACACTCTTAGAAGGAAACTCATTTCTCGTATCTGCAATGTCATTGCCGCCAATGTTGCAGCAATCCGTCTGTCAATCTCCCGCTCCCTTCCTCCCTCGCTTGTGAACAAGACCCCGAGATACTTAAACTCTTCTGCTTGAGACAGTAACTCACCCCCCACTAGGACAGGCAATCCACCCTTTTCTGGTGGAGAACTATGGCCTCAGACTTGGAGGTGCTGATCCTCATCCCCGCCGCCTCACACTTTGCTGCAAACTGCCCCAGTGCTGCAGGTCAAAGTCCAATGACACCAACAGGACCACAGCATCTGCAAAAAGCAAAGTGACCCTGAGGCCTCTGAACCAGACCCCTCCACCCCTTGGCTATGCCTAGAAATTCTAGCCATAAAAGCTATGAACAGAATCAGTGACGAAGGGCAGCTTACACCCACCAGGAATGATTATGACTTACTGCTGGCAATGCAAACCAAACTTTCGCTCCATTTATACAGGGACCTAATTGGCAGCAACAACAGACCCCGTACCCCATACTCCTGAAGAACCCCCCCCAAGGGATATGATCGTATGCCATTTCTAAGTCCACAAAATACATGTAGACTAGTTGGGAACAGACTAGTAGACGAACAGTTCGGAACCCGCATTACTCCTCCTGGATCTGAGGTTCCACCAACAGACGGACCCTCCTCTCCAGCACCCCGGCATAGACCTTCCCAGGGAGACTGAGGAGTGGGATGCCCCTAAATTTGGGACACATCCACCGGCACCCTTTCTTAGAGACTGGGACCTCCACCCCAGTCTGCCAATTCAAAGGCACTGTCCCCAAAGTCCACGCAGTGTTGAAGAGGCGTGTTAGCCAAGACAGCACAAGAACATCAAGAGCTTTCAAGAACTCTGTGAATCTCATGAGCCCCTGGAGCATTACCACCAAGGAGTTTTCTGACTAATTCAGTAACTTCAGCCATTGAGATGAGCAACTCCCCCTCTGAGTCTTCCACCTCTTCTTCCTCCAAGGAAGGTATATCAGTGGGATTCAGGAGATCCTTGAAATATTCCTTCCACCGCCTGACTATATCCCCATTTGAGATCAACAGTTCTTCATTCCTGCTGTAAACAGCATGGGTAAAGCCCTGCTAAGGCCTGTCAAAAATGATTGGAACATAGAAACATTAGAAATCAAAAGAATAGCATTTTGTTTTATTTTTGTTTTATTTCCAGTCTTCAACATTTACATGCTTTTTTGTCTTCTAAACAACTTTGAACATCAAAATGATTGAAGCGAGATCCTTGTACAATCTCTGAGCTAATACAGCAAACTTATTGAAGAGAAAATTAGTAATATTAAAAAAACACAAAACGAGGCTACAAAATGTCATAGTTTATTTATATACAAGGAATTTATATACAGATTATTGAAAAAATAAAGGCTCATCTTGTTTTACTCTTGCAGTGCTTCCCAATGTAAATTTTCCAATAATTTTTATGATATGTGGGATTGTGTTTTTGGATGTCCTAAAAAGGCACAAAGGTTGTTGAATGTTTACCCAAAACTAAACCATAGAAGGTGGTAAAGATACTTATCAGGTTTGTAATATAAAACTATATTGGTGTGAATAGCGTTGCTGGCTTATTGGGTGAAGACTCTGCTCTACAGAACCCTTTTGCAGATGATCTTTAAAAGATGAATAATCAATAGAGAAGTATGCAGCAATGGAAAATATTGTTAATTTCTCACGTTTCACTGAATGCATGAAGCCATTCTGTGTCCGGCTTGTGTTTCAGACAGCGCAGTGCTCGACATATTTTGCGTCAACAAAACTGACAGCACTTAAAAAAGACCAGGGCGATAGATATTTTTTTAATCTTCTGAAAAGATATCTGGCCCAGAGCTGGAGTCCAAGGCACTGTAAGGTCACGGTACCAAAATAAGAAATCTGCTCAAACTATTGAGGACATATATACAAATAAACAGTCCCACATGTGTGTCACACAAGCAGGATCTTCTCACTATTGTGCTCTTCAGCAGAGGGAGGGTGCAGATTGGGGCATTAGGGCGGAGTCTCTGCGTTGTTCTCTATGGAAGGGGCGTGGTCATCCCGCTGACGGGCAGCCAATATGCTGCCAGAGGGGCGGAGTCCACGGCCAGAGCTGCGGACGCTGTGCAGGGGAGAGGAGGAGGCGTGGCGAGAAGGTGGGGAGCTGGCTGGGGTGCGGGGGTACCTACGGGAGGAGCGGGCGGGGGACTCGGGGGAGCGTGAGAAAGGGGGCGGGGTGCTGCTGTAGCTGGGCGGACTGCTGGGCTCCGAGTGGACGTGCGAGTTGCCAAGGGACTTGTCCTCTCCATTGGTGGAATTCTGGGGCACACAGAGAAGCCCAAGTCACGTGACCATCATTTGGTCCAATTGCCATTAACCTGTACGGCCCTTCGTTCCCCCACACACCGGTCCCCTGCCCTGCAAGTGTAATTATGACGATATCATGTGACAATAAAACTTGAAACTGAAAGTGATGTGCATGAAATTAAAGCAGCCTACCTTTTCTTTTAGGATGTACAGAGATACAGGGTTCTTGCACCTGTGCTCTGTCGTGTTTGGCACAATGTCAGCAGCATCTGGACAAAGCAACATAAATTAAAATATTTAAATTGCTGTCACTGCTAAACATTCATGACAGCAATTTAGGAGACAAAAACATTCAAATGGACCATGGCTGATTTTTTTCCCCAGTTCTTTTTTAATGCATCTGAACAGTAAATCACCACAGCCGATGTGCTGCAATTAAACTTGATTCTCCAAATCCTGCTGCTCCTAAACAGCAGGTTTGGCTACCGCTAGTTTAGCGGATGCTATCTTTATACTAGAGGCTAATTAAACTATTGATCCTCATAGTCTAAAGATGGCTTACCCTCATGCGGGACTTCATTCTGCTCCACGGTCTCTGAAGAGTTCTGCTTCGCCCTCTGTCGCTTTTGTCTGAGAAGCCGGACAGACAAAGGCCACCAGGTGACTACGCTTCCTCACACATACGGGACAGCTGATCTTCATAGTGTTTTTTTATTGCTGTCTCAGGTCTGTGATGCATGGATCGCAACCCAACTCAGAATACTGTGTGTATTGCTTAATCAGAATTAATAAAAATTGTTCAATTGACGGAATGCAAACCATGAGCTGTTTCAGGTTATAACGTGACGCCATAATTCGCAAAGAGGAGCTAAACTTATCATTAGCCAATTTGTTTGAAATCGGTGAATCACAGGGCAGGGGGCACTCCAAGGGCCAATCAGCTTTCAGCTAAGGCCGGTGCCTCCTGTGACCCCGCCCCTGTATAGCCCTTGGTTAGCGAGGCCTACAAGACTATTGTTTGGCCTGCATCATAATTGAATGGAGTTGTGATGATTATTACAAATGGCAATCCAACCAGAAGCCAAAACCTATGAGCTCACTCCCGGTCTTCTCACGTGGACTCCATGCTCGAATTACAAACGAGAACAAAAATCACTAAGGATATTGGTTAAAGGGCAAAAGCAGTGACCTGTCTTCTCTGAATGCCCTCAGCAAAAATTCCAAGCAGGGGGACAAAAAAGAGGGGTGCTCACTTTTTGGAGGGCTTCCAGCAGGCACACACCGTCACCAGGGTGATCAGGAGGAAAATGCCCCCGGTGGACAGAATGATGTACAGCGAGCTCCGTCCTGCAAAACACACAGAGAATAACAGTTTCTGTGGGCCCTTACACAGCAGACACAACAAAATCTATATATTCTTTTAGATTTTCTTCCAGTTGTATTTATCATTGTAACAAGCAACAGCTAAATGAGAAACCAAACAACAAAAAAACATAAACACCTTCAATGCCTTAGTTGCCTATGTCAACAAACCATTTACTTAATATCTAATGGAAGCACTTACTTTGGTAACACTAAGTCTACATGCCTCGGCCGATTTTACTCAGTGAGTTACACCTATATTTATTATTTTCTCCATTTTCTCTTCTTTGGAAATGAGTTGATATTCTTTCAAATTGCAGGGGAACTGTACTGCATGGTCCTCCTTATGTCGATCTATAGATTGTCGACAGAGTTGAGGTCAGGGTTTCAGACGAGGCCACTGGGGATAGGTCATTGATTGCCCCTTCACCCACTACTCTCCAATAATTCTTAGGGTGATTTGACAGTGTGATTTGGATTGTTATTGAGTTGAAAGGTGAAATTCCTTACCTTCAGCTTTTCTCAAGAAGTCAGCAGGTTTCCCTTCAAATATCTTGGTATATGGATCTATTAATTTGTCCCCTCCCCTGACCAAAGCCACCCCCACTCCCACCCCACCCCCCCAAAATCAAAAGAAATTGCTCCACAGACCAAAGCTGCTGTAATTATATTTATTATTAGGTACTATAATCTCTTTTTGCGATAAATGGCTTCACGTCGCCCCACAACTGAAGTCCCAAAGCAGTTTGAGGTTGCTGTTGGCCTCTTGGAAGCCTCCATAACAAACGTCTTTCTTGACTTCTACCGTGGAACCACATCGTCATCTGGACAAGTTCTGGGTGATATCAGAGTTCTTCGTTGTCCTTGATTATGGTCTTGAGTTTCAGAAATTTGCTTAAAGTCTTACAAACATATTATTATGCTTCTCTTGATTTGCTGAGGGCGTCGTCAGCACTGTTACCTCACATCTAGGACCAGGGTTCGAGTCTCTGCCATGGCTCCATGTGTGCGGAGTTTGCATGTTCTCCCTGTGTTGTCATGGGGTTTCTTTCTGGTACTCTGGTTTCCCCCCACAGTCCCAAAACATGCTGAGGTTAATTGAAGTTACCAAATTGCCCATACATGGTGTGTGAATGAAAGGTGTGTGAATGTGCCCTGTGATGGGTTGGCACCGCATCCTGTGTTGTCCCCTGCCTTGTGCCCTGCGATGGGTTGGCACCGCATCCTGTGTTGTCCCCTGCCTTGTGCCCTGTGATGGGTTGGCACCGCGTCCTGTGTT